AAATGTTTTATATATTTTTCTATGCATTTTTTGTCTTTGTTATTATATTTGTTCAGTTATATGTAGTTTTAACAAAGAGTTCTAGAGAAACTGAGTCAGAATCGTTCACAGTGGTGGTGATAGGAACCAGACGTCCACCTCTAAAAGCTCCCTCACAGAAAGTTACTACATGTAATATCAACGAATACACTGGTTCTTTATTAAAGGCAATGATACTATTTAGAAACATTAGTTCTATACAGGAAAAAAAAATAAATAAAATATATATATATATATATATATATATATATATATATATATAGTTTATTAAAGAACCCTTGAAGAACCATCTTTTCTAAGAGTGTAGTCCTGTGTAATGAGCCGTTCTTGTGTGTTTGGGGCCTGAAGAACCACATTTCAATGTATACAAGTTATATTGAGGAACGACATTAAAGACCCCCTGACTTACATTCATGCTGGGTGTTTTGGGACAAATTGGATTAAATCAGATTTATCACTATTTTACCGTTATCAACATTACACATAAAGACACGTGTAGGTTCACTGGTGGTTTTGGACAGTAAATAAAATGGCTGTTTTTCATTTTAAACACTATGACCCCTGGTTCCTATCACCACCATTACACACCACTTAAATGTACCACTTCACATCACACCACTCTAAATGACTTAGTATTGAAATATGGAGAAATTTTGGAAAATCGGTGGACTAAGAAATAAAAAATAGGGGTGCATATTTCCAACACACACTTTTTTAATCAGAAAATATACATCTCATTAGAAAAATACAGCTACTGACAGCAAAAACACAAACACAGCACTTACAGGCTTACAATAATGTACTTATGGACAGTATTAAAGGGTTAATGAACATGACCAAACCTACTCTGGCTCACAGTCTCAAAAAGCAGACACACTTTCGTTCGGGAGTTTATATTAATAACCCATTCATGTCCGACAAATAAATAAGTAAAATGCCTCACAACTTGTTCTGGTCTGAAGTGATGAAATTTCGTACACTTTGAGAAAACATCAAGAATAAACGTTTGATTAAATTGGCAAATAACTTGCTGTAAATAGATAATTATGGTGGGTTAATTTATCGTTGAATGAAGTCTATAAAAGTGTGTGTGTAAAATCTTAATCAAAACAGTATTTTATATATATATATATATATATATATATATATATATATATATAACCACATATACACATATACATATATATAAAATGCTGCTGTCGGAAAAAAACCTTGGGTTGTTTCTTTAAGTCCATTCATTATAAAATTAACATACAATGTGGTGTGTGTGTGTGTGTGTGTGTGTGTGTGTGTGTGTGTGTGTGTGTGTGTGTGTGTGTAATAAGTGATTCCAAATCTTTGAGTGTACTTTTTCCCATCTATTCGAACTGCCGCTCACGCAAAGACAGGGGGGCCATCCTGCCCACCCAGAGAGAGTGAGACGATGATGCTTGGACTCCTGGACTGTAGCATTACCGGGAATTGAACTTGCAACCTCCAGGTGAGAGAGCCAACGCTTAGACGGCGTAAACAACTAAAATATATAAGCTGTTACTGGGCAGTTACAGTGAGTGTGTTTACATGCACTCAATAATCCGATAACGGCAGAAAATCAGATTTTGTCAGGAATCCGTTCAACACGTTTACATGCAAATGAGTAATCAGATAATGGGAAACTCCGGGTCTACATGACTCAGACAGTAATCAGATTTCTGCTTTGCAACCAGCCGATAAACTCACAGAAGAAGACGTGACGTAAACGTAATGTATGACTCAAAACTCATACCGCAGCTTTTTTTTAATCATCGCGCCGCTTTACTGAAAATATGAACATTTATCACCCAGAAGATGAAGAATATTCAAATCCTTTATTTCGTGTTTGGTTTCAGCGCCGCTCCAACAGTGTTCTGCTGCGTCTCGCGACATCCACCGTCTGATCTCGCACATGCGCAAACAGAGAAATCCGAAAGAAATCAGAGTAAGAGTTCACATGCACTGAGAAATCTGATTACTGAGCTAAAATCCAGCCTCTTTATCAGATTTCTAGATCGGAGTATGGTGTTTACATGACAATTTGAATAATCGGATAACTGCAGAAATCTGATAATGATCAGATCATTGAGTGCATGCACACGCACTCTGTGTTTTCTAGTTTAATGATGACAGCAACGAAACTCATTAACTTCGTATTAACTATAGGTTAGGTAACTCCGATCTTGCTCATACTAGAAATTAGTATAGATTTAGTATAAATTAGTATTAGTTTTAACAGCTGAACCTTCTGTAAACTCTGTCGACCGTCTTCTGCTGCAGCCACATCTATTCCTGACTGGGCCGTAAAGGAAAGCTTGTAGGTCAGTTCAGATTAAACTGCGCAGGTCGTTCAATCAAAATATACACTATTGTTCAAAGATTTGGAACCGCTGTCGTTTTTTTTATGTAAAATATGGAGTGTATAATTACATTTTTGTGGGAAGCTGTAAAAACTAAAGACATTTTAGATTTGTGCAGAATTAACCTGGCTGCAGACGAGGCTATAATGAGTGAGAAAGCTGTATGAAACTGAAAAGTTAACAAAAGAATGCCTCATATTTAAAACATTGAGGAAACCTCAAGGCAGAAAACTATCAACAACACAGTTACAGTATAATGTTTGTTGGTGAATAACTTCTCGGCGTTCCCAAAAAACTTAAAATATTGTTGCAAACATATTAAGATGGTTCCGAAACCAGACGTTTAGCATTCAAATCTACACTGAAATCTGTCATTAAATAAAATAACAGCGATTTTTAATATGACAAGTGATTCAAAGCTTTTGAACGGTACCGAATATGTTATTTACACAGCTCAGACGAATTACAGGCACAAACACATAAGAAAAGACTATATATGATAATAAGGAATGTCTGTACAGTCTATCTTAGTGCAAGTGTTTCAGTGTTAATAAGTTCCACTAAAAGCTAATATTGATGCGTAATAATTACAGGAGCCTTTGAAAACAAGTGTTACCTATAGCAGTAGTAATATAGTACTAAAATAAAAAATTATATTATTACTCCTCTTTTAAACGTCCCTCTGAAACTGGCCCTCTCACAGTCTCTGTAAAGCTAGATAGCAAAGCTAGCCGTAACTTTTAAAAACAAGCCAGGAAATCAGTAACTTCACAAGTACACAATCACATCCTACGACTGGTTCTTTATTAAAGGCAATGATTCTGTTTAGAACCATGAGTTATACAGAAACACTGGCAGGCTTAAATGGTTCTCTGCCTGGTGAAATCGTTCTTCAGATTGATGGAGAATGTGCTGTAAATGGTTCTACATCACCAAAAAGGATTCTTCTGTTATGATGTGAAGCTTGTAATAGAACCATTTTCAAAGATGTTCTATATAGAACCATAGAAAACATATTCTCCATCAATCTGAAGAATTCTGATTTTCCCATGCAAAGATCATATAAGCATATATATATATATATATATCAATCACTGTTGTAGGAACAAAACCTTGTATCTCCAAAATTGTAACTTTACAGGAGAAGGAAAAAACTTACTTTACTTTTAATGTAAGTCAGTGGAACCAGGATTTTTTCCAGGTCATTTTGAGGCATTTCTTTTTGTCTACTCATCTTGATATTTACACACAATGTAAAGGGCAACAGGCATTTTCAAATTATGTCAAAAACTGAAAAACGTCAAAAATGGAGATACAAGGTTTTCTTCCAACAACAGCGATATATATATATATATATATATATATATATATATATATATATATATACACATATATATACATATATACACACACACATATATATATATATATACACACACATATATATATATATATATATACATATATGTATGTATACACACACACACACATATATATATATATATATATATACACACATACATATATATATATATATATATATATATATAACTTGTACACATTGTGTGTGTGTGTATATATATATATATACACACACACACACACACACACACACACACACACACACACATATATATAGCCTTTATTAAAGAACCCTTGAAGAACCATCTCTTATAAGAGTGTCGTCCTGTGTAATGAGCTGCTGTTGCGTTTGGGGTCTGAAGAACAGCATTTCATCCTAATGTGTACAAGTTATACTGAAGAACGACATTAAAGACTTACATTCATGCTGGGTGTTTTGAGGCAAAATGGTCCCGGAAACATGCGTGTTAACAGTGTTAATAAGTTCCACTAAAAGCTAAAAGAAAAAAAAAAGATATTTTTACTCCTCTTTTAAACGTCCCTCTGAAACTGGCCCTCTCACAGTCTCTGCAAAGCTAGTTAGCAAAGCTAAAAACAAGCCAGGAAATCAGTAACTTCACAAGTACACAATCATATCCTACAACCAAACAGTATTCAAATAAAATTAATGATGCTGATGATATATTATGCTATTACAATCACAGTTACTTAATAGTATATTAATGACGAATGACTAATCTGAACAGGACTAATCTGAACAGGACTAAACTCAATTGGTCCTGTCGACTGACTGTGTATGCTCTGGCCCAGACTCAAGCTTAGTAGTTTGAAAACTTGGTCCCTACTCCTGAACAAACAGAAGTACACAGTTAAACTGATAATTTAGCTCCCCTAAAACACTAAAGGTCAAAAACACAACCATTTCATGTAAAAACAAATAAGCATTTTGCTTTATCACTTAAAGGACTGGAGCTCTTATGATACAATAACATTTCGTTGTCATCAATTCATTAGTGCAAATAAACAGAGCGGGAGTGTTTGTGTTATTGTTGACTTGGTCACCCCCCTTTTTACCTCATCCAAAAGGTATTCGGCACAACCCTCGTCTCCACAAACAATATCAAATAAATATCAGATTTTTTTTTTTCCTCTGTAATAAATATGATGTCATTGCCTGAAGCCAATGGTGTTGGAGCGAGGTTCGGAATGAAGCAGCACTTTTTTTTCCACTCTCGGTTCAGATGCCCTTCAGTCAGACACCCCCTCAACCATAGGACCTGGAGAAAAAACAGAAAGAACGAAGAATGTAAACAACATTGAGATGATGTCTCATCAGGGCTAAAACAGTGAGTGAGATTTCCTTCAGTGTCACTATAAACGAGGCACATTGTATTGGATCAATATTGGCTATATTTTCCCAGAATCAATTATGATCCATTGTTAAAGGGGACCTATTGTGCTTTTCCGGTGCTTCCCTTCCTCTTAGTGTGTTGTAGCTTTTTGTGCATGTAAAAGTTCTGCAAAGTCCCAAAGCTCAGCGTTCCCTCCAGAGGGAGAAACTCTCTCCCACAGAATCCTCTTTTCTCAGCTGCTGAAACGCCTCGTAGGAATTCCAGCCCTTTTCCTTTGTTACAGGACGACTCAATCTCGCAACACAGTCCTTACTGCCCGCCTACCGGCGAGCTCGGCCCCCTCACACAGCACACAGCGGCTACTGGAGGAGGAAGAGTGTATTCAGTGCTGTAGCAAAAACAACAACAACAACAAAAAAAACACTCCTGACTTTGAATGGAAGTTAAGGGAACAAGATTCGATCCCCAGGTCAAAAAAAAGGTCCTTCACATCTGAAAATGGGGTTCTTTCTTTCATACATGGAAAACACCTATAAATATGTCAAGTTCTCCACCATTTCATACCTTTTTAAAGGGGAAAATGAAACAGCAACTTGGAATTTCATTCGCTTATCTTATCTAAATTGGATTGTTCTGTACTTGAATTGTCCATTACGCAACTGTATTATCTAAGAAAACAAAGATAGATAGATAGATAGATAGATATATAGATAGACAGACAGACAGACAGACAGACAGAGAGTTAGACAGATAGACAGACAGACAGACAGACAGAGAGTTAGATAGATAGACAGACAGACAGATAGATACTTTATTGATCCCGAAGGACATTTGGTAAACATGGGATCTGGACTTATTAAGTACAAACATGACAATATTTTATCAATATCAGGTTAAATTCTGTCATAATACCCTTTTCTGAGCATATTGTGGATATTGTCAGTACTTAAAGAACATTAATTACATATTTAATTACGAAGTGAGCGTAATTAGGCCTGTTTAATTGATTTTAGAGCAGTACAGCTTGAAAACACTAAATAAAAATGATTGTAGTTGCAGGTTTATTATTGATATTATGATTACAGTATCTGTATATGTGGCACTACATGTTCCATTTTATCTCATCCAACTTATTAAATCTCAGAAAAACGAAATGTCGTGATGCATATCGTGTATCTCGAAAAGCATCGTGATTTAATATCGTTGCCATAGCGCCCACACCTACCTCACATCACAAAGAATCAAAAACGCTAAGGTAGTAATGGACTTACTCTGTGGAGGGTCAATGTCCATGGCCCGAAGGGAGCTAAAGGAACAGTTCTTTTTGGGTCGGGCCCCAAGATCACGCTCCTCTTTCACTGCATTAGAGTTCAGGTTCCCATTGCTAGCTTCGGCTGGAGCCTCACTCTGGGCTTTGTTCTCCTCAGTTCTAAAGTGTCCTCCCTCTTCAGCCACAATCTTCTCAATCTTCTCCATCAGAAGTGGAAGCTGAGGGTTCTCCCCGAAAATCTGGTTGTTGATGACGTGGTATCTTTTCTTGCACTTATCCACCACCCACTGAAGCTCGCGGCCCTCCCTGCGGATGTGCCTCTCGATGGACCGGTCCCGCAGCACCTCGGCCCACGTGAACACCAACAAGGTGTGCTTCCACATGTCCTCCCCGAACAGCGCCAGGTTCTCCTCTATGCGAGCCCTGTCTGTCTCGGTGAACATGCCCACGGGGATGACCAGCAGAAAAGCGTGCGGCCCTGGCGAACACATGCTGACACTTCGCAGCATCTCCTGTTGGTACGATGTGGGTGTGGTCTGGGAGGAGAACCAACCCGGCGTGTCCACTATCATCACCTTGCGACCGTCCACTTCGGCCTCGCGCTTCACCGAGAATTCAGACGCGCGCTCCAAATGAAACTCCTCTCGGCCTAGGATGGTGTTTCCGGTCAGGCTTTTGCCCGGCCACCTCCAGCCCAGCAGGACCAGGCGAAGCTCAGGGAGGCGGTTGGCATCGCGGGCGGCTTTGGCAAGCCTCTTCTCCTCCTCAGGGTCACCTGCAGAACACAGTCACTTTGAAGGCTTTGCTGGGTAACTGATGTACACCGATCAGGCATGACATCATGACCACCTCCTTGTTTCTGCGCTCATTGTCCATTTTATCAGCTCCACTTACTATATAGGTGCACTTTGTAGTTCTACAGTTACAGACTGTAGTCCATCTGTTTCTCTGATACTTTGTTAGCCCCCTTTTACCCTGTTCTTCAGTGGTCAGGACCCCCATGGACCCTCACAGAGCAGCTACTATTTGGGTGGTGGATCATTCTCAGCACTGCAGTAACACTGACGTGGTGGTGGTGTGTTAGTGTGTGTTGTGCTGGTCTGAGTGGATCAGACACAGCAGTGCTGCTGGAGTTTTTAAACACCTCAGTGTCGCTGCTGGACTGAGAATAGTCCACCAACCAAAAATATCAAGCCAACAGCGTCCTGTGGGCAGCGTCCTGTGACCACTGATGAAGGACTAGAGCATGACCAACACAAACTGTGCAGCAGCAGATGAGCTATCGCCTCTGACTTTACACCTACAAGGTGGACTGACAAGGTAGGAGTGTCTAATAGAGTGGACAGTGAGTGGACACAGTGTTTAAAAACTCCAGCAGCACTGCTGTGTCTGATCCACTCAGACCAGCCCAACACACACTAACACACCACCACCACGTCAGTGTTACTGCAGTGCTGAGAATGATCCACCACCCAAATAGTAGCTGCTCTGTGAGGGTCCATGGGGGTCCTGACCACTGAAGAACAGGGTAAAAGGGGGCTAACAAAGTATCAGAGAAACAGATGGACTACAGTCTGTAACTGTAGAACCACAAAGTGCACCTATACAGTAAGTGGAGCTGATAAAATGGACAATGAGAGTAGAAACAAGGAGGTGGTCATAATGTTATGCACATAACACATCACACAAACATGCAGCAGAAACAGTGGGAATTTATTCTAATAGAGCCATAATAACATAATTATATGTTTTAGTTTTAACATAAACAAACAATTATGTGTGCATATTATTTCATATTATTTGTCCAGCTTGTGGTTCCAAAAAGTGTTCTCCTATTGTTAAAAGCTCAACATAATAACAATAGAAGAACCTTATAAAACCATATGCAACACATTCTGTATCAAACTGAAGAATCATTTCATCAAGAACCATTAAAACATGAAATGGTTCTATATATAGGGTTCTAAACAAAATCATGCCCCTTACAAAAAAAAAAAAAATCCTTGAGGAACTTGAAGATCTTTTCTTAAGAGTATACTACATACCATAAATACCATACTTAACGTCATTATCATACTTCTCATACTACTTAACGTAGTACACTCCTCACGTAGCAATCATTGACTAATTCCTGTTAATTACTGGATAATAAACTTTAAGACAACTGACTAATAAGCCAAGAGTTCAAGGGGTTAATATAAACTCCAGAAACCTCCTGAACCTGTTTACTCATTGTCACAGCAGAGTAAAGCAAGGCTTTGATCAGCAGAACACACAGTCTTAAGGTATGACTAAACTTCCTTCCTTCATTTTAACATTCAGAAACAAGTGTGGTGCATATCACTGTCTCTTTTATACAGAAACGGTGTCTCTCTCACTGTCTCACTGTCTCACTGCTGGGTTTATTGTTTTCATTTTGCCCAGAGTGAGCATTTAATCCCTCACACTGCAGTAATGGCACTTAAAACCTTTTATCCAGTAACTGCTATGAATTATTCAGTAACTACAATTAAAAGGTGAGTCGTACGCTTAAGGCCATCACACACTGGACGCGCCACGCCGCGTTGTGTAGTCTCCAAAATCATTGTTTATAATGGACGTACAAAAACAGCCAATTTATTAAAAAAAATAAAAAAGGGATGCCGTTTGGCGGGAAGGTAATTTTTTAACGAAGGATAATCGTTACAGCCCTAGAGCCGAGATTTAGGGGTTTTATTTATTTTTGAAGAAAACTAAACTGAATACATACAATTATTCAGTTTTTTCTTCCTTCTTAATTACACAGACATATTCGATTCACTTTTTTGTCTCGTTAAAAGTTTTATTTAATTGTTTCTTAAATTTTTACTTGATAATTGATTTATTTTCTGCTTTATCAAATTGCAAATGGAACTTTGTCATGTCAATTAAGCAAACTTGAACTTGAAAGGGGGGGAGGGAGAAGGAGAGAGAGAGAGAGAGAGAGAAGAGAGAGAAAAAGAGAGAAAAGAGAGAAAGTGAAAGAAAGAGGGAGAAAAAGTGAGAGAGAAAAAAGGAGAGAAAAAGAAAAAGTGAGAGAGAGAGAGAGAGGGAGAAAAAGAGAGAGAAAGGAAAAGAGAGAGAGGAAAAAATAAAGAGAAAGAGAGAGAGAGAGAAAGAGAAATAGAGAGAGAGAAATAGAGAGAGAGAGAAATAGAGAGAGAGAAATAGAGAGAGAGAGAGTGAGAGAGAGAGTGAGAGAGGGAGTGAGAGAGGGAGAGAGAGAGAGAGAGAAGAGAGAGAGAGAGAGAGAGAGAGAGAGAGAGAGAGAGAGAGAGAGAGAGAGAGAGAGAGAGGACAGCCTCAGAGCAAAAGCAGGTGAGATGTAGGTGAGTGAGCAGCTCAGATTACCAAACACTGAAATTAAAGCAGAATATAATTACATTACAGTCTAATCACCACCTGGTGACTCAGGTTGGCCTCCTTGTTTACGAGCATGACGCACAAGCTAAAGGGGAACTCCACCGATTTTTAAAATTTCTGTATAATTCAGTCACTGATTTGTAAACAAAGTCATTCAGAGCGGTTTGATGTGAAAACGTTCATTACAGAGAAACTTATCGACTCAGCTTTCTTTAAAGTGGTGGTGATAGGAACCAGGCGTCGCCATGACTACAACACAAATATAGCTATTTTATTTACTATCCAAAACCACCAGTGAACCTACACGAGTCTTCTGAGATTTACATGGAATGTTGATGATGGGAAAATAGTGGAAAATCTAGAAAAAGAAATTCTTTGGGGACTACTTTGCCTCAAAACGCCCTGCATGTACCCCTCCACCATGAACGGCTTTCAAAAATAGATGTTTTAGGCCAAATCCTTACCTCAAAACAGCGTCTCAGACTTCAAGCAGTAACCATTTCATGTTAATACCTTTCTGTGAGGGAGCATTTAGAGGTGGACGTCTGGTTCCTATCACCACCACTGTTAATAATAATGACTCTTAAGTTTAAGAGTCACATTATTGTGCACATTTTAATAATCGGTGGAGTTCTCCTTCAAGCTAAATTAGCCTCTTGTTTTGGTCATTAGGAATGACTGAAATTCACACGCAACCATATCCATCGGAAATACGTCCATCATTTTGAAATCTACAGCTGAAATTCTGGACTGTCCGGTCAGGATTGCGCAAAGTCCTAAAGCATTTCTCAAACCTGACACTTTCCTGTAATTCGTTCGCTAAGAGGAAACAACCCGAGTGTGTCTACGAGGCTAAAGTTGGCTTACAATTCGAATTTTTCCGTTCCACCTTAAATGGTGCAGCAGTGACGTTCTGGCGCCTCAGCCTCAAGGCGCCAGAACGTCACTGCTGCACCATTTAAGGTGGAACGGGAAAATTCGAATAAAAAGCTGGAGAATACGAAGCTTCGAAACCCTCGATATGAAAATAAACCTCACATTAATCTCTCAGTAGCGATTTTCTGTGAGAAAGTCAGACTTTTTGACGTTATTAGTCACCGAAACATGAGAACTTTTAATGTAAATAAACTACTTTCGGTCTCCTTAGTTACCTCAGGCGTTAGCTAACTAGGTTAGCTCGCTGATGTTAAATGTTTAATCAGCTCTGGCTGAAGCTAGTCTCACATACACAACCTCCTCAACTTTCCACAGCCTGGCCGAACAGGTTTTAAAGCTAAATAATAAAGTTTTCCAGCCGAATAGGATGTTAGCAGGTGGAACAAACGTCCGACTTCAACTACTAGACGCCAGTTAGGAGGCGAAACGTGTGAAACGTGTCAGTTTTTCAAACAGAAGGCGCTGAGGCAGCGGAGAAGTGCTAACAAACTCAGAGAGGAGGTCAGACTTACTTCATATTATTTAGCCAACAATTTAAACACTTACCGGGTATTTCTGTCAGTTTGTCAGAATTCATCACGAAGTTGTCTTCTTGGCGTTTGACGTCTCGTTTATCCGGGAGAGAGGGATTTCCTACTCGCTGGCAGGCGGCGAAAAGCAGGAGGTGCTAACCAGTGATGGGGAGTCGATTCCGTAAGAGTCGATTCTTTGACTCCAACACGTCTGGGCGAACGACTCTAAAAGAGTCGAAATAAGTAAAGACATCCGAGTCTGATTCTGAGTCTGATTTCTCTACAATTAACTATTTCACACAGAATCACTCTGAATGACTTTGTTTACTGCTAAATAACACTGTTAGTATTTTGTATTATATAATATATGTTGTCTTATTTTATTTATTTACTTTACAACATTTATTATATTGTCTTATTTTATTTATTTACTTTATTTATGTTGATATTGTTGCTGTTATTTCAATATGACTATTATCACTGTTACTATTATTGATTCTATATTTATTTTTTTTTACTTCTACAAAACATGTTCCGCTTTGAGTTGAATTTTATATGCTTTGGCAACATAGTACTCAAAACAATCCTGCCAATAAAGCTGCTTTGAACTTGAATTAGAGAGAGAGAGAGAGAGAGAGAAAAGAGAGATAGAGATAGAGACTCCAACACGTCTGGGCCTATGACTCTAAAAGAGTCGTAATAAGTAAAGGCATCCGAGTCTGATTCTGAGTCCGATTTCTCTACAATGAACTATTTCACATAGAATCACTCTGAATGACTTTGTTTACGTCTCATTAATAGAATTATTCCTTAAGTGTTTCGAGAATATATGAAATTTGAGATTTACTCTGCTCCGTACGTTTGGTACGCTGGCCTGAGCACAGATCTGAAGAAATTTTCCAAATTGAATGAACAATTTTTCAAAAAAAGTGTGTTTTTATCACTTAATTTATCACATTAAATCCAGTCTTTGGGTCACAAAAACAAATCCAGTTCTGATTGTGAAGTTTGGTGTTATTAATAATTAATTAAGTTGACTTGAACAATCAAAATCATTTTATTTTCACATACATTGTAATATTTACACATCTACATGATTTATTAACAGTATTGCAGGTCATCCTTCGTCCATTAAATGTTGCTATGTACAAGGTGATCTTTACAATCCTTCATCCAACAGACTCGAACCATCACACACAAGAAAATATGACATTTAAAAGTGTGGGAAGAATCGATTCTTTGACTCCAACATGTCTGGGCCAATGAACTCCAAAAGAGTCGAAATGACTCCGTGTTTTTTTGTCGTAATTGGCTCATTCGGTGAACGTTTGGGATGGTTTAATATCTGCTATATCCCTGTATCATCGGCTCTGGCGCTGTTTTGGTTAATATTAAATGGAGTCGAGGAGTCGACTGTATCGACTCCAGCGGCAGGAATCGACGCCAGAAAACTCGGAGTCATGCTGCACTTAGCTAAAAGCGGGAGGTGCTAACGTCAGTTTCAGGGAGGGAAAGTACACATCCGGTACACGGTCCCCACCCTCCCACGCCACAAAAATAGCTCCTGCTCCTTTGGTAGTCGGCTAAAAAGCGGGAGGTGCTCAAAAGAGGCGGTTTAAGGAGAGCCCGGCCACTTCAGTGGTCTCCCATTGTATCAGAAACATGACTGCGAAACACCAGAGGGCGCCCGCGAGCGAGTCTTCAATGAATGGGGGTGAACTGAGCTAAACGGCTAAAAAGGAAAAGCTGAAATATTTTCTAATCACTTGGCCGCGACTTTATTTATTTTTGGTAAGTAGAAGAATGAATTCCACTAAAAAAGGAAGGAAAACTTACCTGTATCTTTACCTTTATCTACAGCAAACAGGTTTTGGGAAGTAAGGTGATAGCATTACTGCTACTGAGTGCTGATTGGTTAGCAGTACTGCTACTGAGTGCTGATGATTGGCATTACTGCTACTGAGTGCTGATCGGTTAACATTATTACTACTGAGTGCTGATCAGTTAACATTACTACTACTGAGTGCTGATTGGTTAGCATTACTGCTACTGAGTGCTGATGGTTGGCATTACTGCTAATGAGTGCTGATTGGTTAGCATTACTGCTACTGAGTGCTGATGGTTGGCATTACTGCTAATGAGTGCTGATTGGTTAGCATCGCTGCTACTGAATGCTGATTGGTTGGCATTACTACTACTAAGTGCTGATTGGTTAGCAGTACTACTACTGAGTGCTGATGGTTAACATTACTGCTACTGAGTGCTGATTGGTTGGCATTACTGCTAATGAGTGCTGATTGGTTTGCATTACTGCTAATGAGTGCTGATTGGTTGGCATTACTTCTACTGAGTGCTGATTGGTTGGCATTACTGCTACTGAGTGCTGATTGGTTGGCATTACTGCTACTGAGTGCTGATTGGTTTGCATTACTGCTACTGAGTGCTGATGGGTTGGCATTACTTCTACTGAGTGCTGATTGGTTAGCAGTACTGCTACTGAGTGCTGATTGGTTGGCATTACTGCTACTGAATGCTGATTGGTTAGCAGTACTGCTACTGAGTGCTGATTGGTTAACATTACTGCTACTGAGTGCTGATTGATTGGTATTACTGTTACTGAGTGCTGTTGGTTAGCAGTACTGCTACTGAGTGCTGACTGGTTAGCATTATTGCTACTGAGTGCTGATTGGTTAGCAGTATGGCTACTGAGCGCTGATTGGTTAGCATTACTGCTACTGAGTGCTAATTGGTTAACATTACTACTACTGAGTGCTGATTGGTTAACATTACTGCTACTGAGTGCTGATGGTTGGCATTACTGCTACTGAGTGCTGATTGGTTAGCAGTACTGCTACTGAGTGCTGATTGGTTAACATTACTGCTACTGAGTGCTGATGGTTGGCATTACTGCTAATGAGTGCTGATTGGTTAGCATCGCTGCTACTGAATGCTGATTGGTTGGCATTACTACTACTGAGTGCTGATTGGTTAGCAGTACTGCTACTGAGTGCTGATTGGTTAACATTACTGCTACTAAGTGCTGATTGGTTGGCATTACTGCTAATGAGTGCTGAATGGTTGGCATTACTGCTAATGAGTGCTGATGGGTTGGCATTACTTCTACTGAGTGCTGATTGGTTAACATTACTGCTAATGAGTGCTGATTGGTTGGCATTACTGCTAATGAGTGCTGATTGGTTGGCATTACTGCTACTGAGTGCTGATTGGTTTGCATTACTGCTAATGAGTGCTGATGGGTTGGCATTACTTCTACTGAGGGCTGATTGGTTAGCAGTACTGCTACTGAGTGCTGATTGGTTGGCATTACTGCTACTGAATGCTGATTGGTTAGCATTACTGCTACTGAGTGCTGATTGGTTAGCATTACTGCTACTGAGTGCTGATTGATTGGTATTACTGTTACTGAGTGCTGATTGGTTAGCAGTACTGCTACTGAGTGCTGACTGGTTAGCATTATTGCTACTGAGTGCTGATTGGTTAGCAGTATGGCTACTGAGCGCTGATTGGTTAGCATTACTGCTACTGAGTGCTGATTGGTGAGCATTACTGCTACTGAGAGCTGATTGGTTAGCATTACTGCTACTGAGTGCTGATTGGTTAGCATTACTGCTACTGAGTGCTGATTGGTTAGCATCGCTGCTACAGTGTTGGAATCTTCTTCATCTCCTCTTCTGTCTTCAGTGTAAGAAATGAGGAACAGTTCACCTTTTACACCAAACTATTGGGAAATTGGGCAGGTTTTCAGATTTACAGATATATTATGCCATATTGTCAAGTTTTTCAGAGGTATCACGGACATAGTTACAGTTGCTGTGCTATGAAGGACCAACTGGGTGAACCGGTCTGCTACAGTGCCACCCTGAGGCAGAGCAGTGTAGCTCTAGTAAAAAATTATCACTTAATTTATCACATTAAGTCTTTGGGTCACATGACCACACATGTTTAACAAAAAAAAACAAATCCAGTTCTGATTGTGAAGTTTGGTGTCAATAATAATTAATTAAGTTGACTTGAACAATCAAAATCATTTTATTTTCACACACATTCTAATATTTACACATCTACATGATTTATTAACAATATTGCAGGTCATCCTTCATCCATTAAATGTTGCTATGTACAAAGCGATCTTTACAATCCTTCATTCAACAGATTCGAACCATCTTACACAAGAAAATATGACACTTAAAAGTGTGGAAATAAAGTTTAAAAAGGAGAGATGGAGAGGACTCTAGCTTTAAAATGTGTGCCTTTAAACTGTTAGCCATTCTCAGGGCTGTTAGGTGGAATGAATGGAGTGTTGATTCATTTGCTGATGATTAAGTAGCCCAGGCTGCCAGCATCTTCATGTCATCTTCATCCTCTGCTCTCTTCTTGGTCGCTACAAAATAAAAATAAAAAGATGCCGTTGGTTGATTACAGTTTGGGGAAACACCACCGGTAACACTTTCTATAAATGCCACGTTTGTAAGCATCTATAAACACATTCATAACATGTTATAATTCATTCATAAGGCATCATAAACATGGCCATAAATATTTATAAAAATGCATTACGTTATAGCCACACTTATTATGCATTAAGAATAGTTAACATAATGCATTATAAGTAGCGTTTATAACAAATTATAAGAGCTCATAAGTCGTATTTGTCCGCTCTAAGTAAAGTGAAGCGTACTGTACTAAAGCCTCCTCCAGTGTTCAGAGTGAGGCTACAAGTTGAAGTATTTACTGAAGGATTTACTGAAACACTAAAACATACATAATAAAGCACATTACAGGCTTCAAATGTCAGAGTTTAAACTAGAGCTGCCATCAGTGTTTTACCCAATGTGGGAAAGGTAATGTACACCGCCGTTAGCTTGGCACTAACTAAACACTGCATATCCAATAGAATGCTAGCAGAAATTAGCATCACTGTACTGTAGTGTAGTGATGTTACTGAGTGAAGGGTTCTAGCGTTTGACGTTAGAACAAGTGAGGGAACAAATTACAATGACAGAACTCTACTATCTCGCCTCTCCCTCTCCAGACCTTCACTCCACAGTGACTTCATGCCCAGTGTGATGTCAGAGGGGGTTCAGGGGAGGGGCTGATGGGTACTTGGTTTGCTGTGATGTAATGTAGTGTTTAAAGTGAGACGCTGGGTAAGAAAAGCTCACTGTAGCAGTGATTCTAGGCTGGACAGCCTGTTTGGAGCATCTGAATATTCAGGACTGAAGCCCTGAAACACCAGCAGTATTTGTCTAATTTATGCTCTTCAAGCTGGGACTGACTTCTTTGGCAATGACAGTATAACATGCTATTAACACTACTTATGAAGCATTATATTTACAATTCATAGTGTATAATAAACATGGCTATAAAGTGTAAGTCAGCCTTAAGGACCATGTTCATTTTCCACCAATTATTAAACATTTACATTTTTTATTGCTGTTATTTGATAAAAATATAATAGTGGCGCTAAAAACTCTTTTAAAAAAGATTATTCTTCAAGGGTTCTTTAGTAAAGGGAATGGTTCTACAGACAACCATGAACACTCAAAGAACCATTTGCGTGATTAAATGGTTCTCTGCATGGTGACATCACTCTTCAGATTGATGGAGAATGTGCTGTAGATGGTTCTACATAGAACCTTTTTGAAAATGGTTCTTTATAGCACCAAAAAGGATTCGTCTGTTGTTATAAGCTTGACATCGTAACAACAACAGAACCGTTTTTGGTGCTATAGAGAACCATTTTCAAAAAGGTTCTATGTTAAAGCAATAAGCCTCAAGAAGCTGCGCATTACTGTGGTTTTATTACAGAGAACCGTGTCTAAAACGCACAGCCTCAACGTAAAATATGATAAAATACACAATTTTTCAGAAAATAATTTATTATTAATAATAAATGACATAAACAAGTATTCTGCCATGAAATGTAGCTCCTTTGCCGAATGAGGACAATGTTGGGCGCCAATTACTGTGTATTGCAGTCATTTCATTAACTTTTTAACTTTTTGTCATATAATAATGAACATATGATAACACAGCACTGTTTAATACAGAAACCTTCACTTTATAAGTACTTTTTGGTCACCAAATAACCACCACGAGTCTTATTTAGCACCAATCCAACGGCGCCTTTCTTCTCACACTGGCGCTGAATCACAAATGGCTCCTTATATAGTGCACTTGGTAGGAAATTAAAAACTGGATCCTGCAGCCCAACAGTGAATAATACAGCTAAGAAACAGTCATCTGGGACTCAGACACATGATTGGCTGAACTGTTTGGCTGTAGAGGCTAGAATTTCTAAACTTTCATAGCTAGAACACTATTTAGAGAGTACGGAGCCATTTGGGATTCAGTTTTACAGTTAATCATACTGTTAGTGCTTTAAATCAAGCCTGTGATATTAATGATGTAGTTGTTTAGCATGTTTTCTATCTTTTATCCTGTTAGCTAGCTGACCAGCCTAGTTTTAGTTAAGAACATAAGTTGCCAGCTCCTCAGTTTAAACAAAAAAACATGGTCTTACTTCATAAATATACTCGGTACTCCATGTGGGCAGCATTACAGTGAAAGATTATAAGGGTTTTTTGGGAGGCGGTCGTAGATGTGTGTATATCGTGGATTTTACAATAGCTTTGAACGCAGTTCAGCCAATCAGAGTTTAAGATAGGAGCTATCCATTTAAAAAAAAAATCATAAACAACACATTTTTCATCAATCTGAAGAACAATGTCACCATGCAAAGAATCATTTAAGCACAGCATGGTTCTATGTAGAGCTCATGGTTCTAAATAGAACCATTGCCTTTGCTAAAGAACCCCTAAAGAACCATCTTTTACGTATGCAGTATTAGCAAACTTCAATTGGTCGTCAAACATATGTTTATTAAAAAAAAGATAACTCAGTTGAAAATTTTTTTTAAACATCCCAACTCCAGCTTTTCACCCCAAAACACTCATAATCTTTCAAAATTTACCACCACCTTCAAGATACATCATCAGAAGGGTCTTTAAACCAGGAACGCTATCGCACAGATCTTACTCTGTAGGAGGGGAGCAGGGATGCAGATGTAGTGAGGGCTAAATTTTACATTTACGTCTCTTTATTTTTTTCTTTGCCCTCATAAACCCTCATAAACCACGTAGGGCTTTTAGAATGAATAGCGCCTTAATCATGAAATACTCTTAATAGCTACAGATTTAGGCCTATGAGGCAGCTTGTGAGCGGTCTAGCTAATTAGCATGCTCATTAGCATTTTGTTCTAGTATTAAATGGATAATTCCAGCGACGACCTTTCTAATAACAATTTTAATAATATGTTCAGGGGTGTTATTGAAAGGTTTTGATGAACTGTACCAGCTAGCAGCAGCCAAAGACCATGAAACTGACATTTTGGGGGGAGATTTGCTAGGAAAGACGCAAACTACAGAGCAGTTTGCCAACACTTTGTGCAAGTAGGTCAGTTTAGTGGGTTATCTAATACGAACGCTCTATGCAAATGAACAATGGTGCAACTTCATAATTAACATATAAGCACTGCACTGTAACACATGCTTGTTGTGTATGAAAGCTGTTTCCACCAGATAGGATGAAAAACTTTTATTCATCTGTTTCTTCTGCCTTTTTTCAAGATTTTTACCTAGAATAATAGCAAAGTAAAATAATGAGTTATTACTCGTCAAGAATGTAGGTGATTATTCAGTATTTCAATACAATAAACAATAATTATTTTGAGAAATTAAGACATTACTTTGGTGTAATAAGTCATTATTTTGACTTTGCAACTGAGCACATTTGGAAACTGAAATCATGGAATTTCTGTTTCATCTTCAAGTCCTTTTGGAATTTTAAGAAGATTTTTAGATGGAACCTCTAAAACACACACACACATCTTCTAAGCCGCTTCTCCTTCTGGGTCGCGGGGGGAGCTGGAGCCTATCCCACCAGTCATTGGGTGGAAGGCAGGAAACACCCTGGACAGATCACCAGTCCATCACAGGGCAGACTCACTCACACACACTCACACCTAGGGGCAATTTAGCATGTCCAATTGGCCTGACTGCATGTCTTTGGACTGTGGGAGGAAACCGGAGAACCCGGAGGAAACCCACGCGGACACAGGGAGAACATGCAAACTCCACACAGAAAGGACCCTGGTTGCCCGGCCGGGAATCGAACCCAGGCCCTCCTTACTGTGAGGTGAGAGCGCTCCTCTAACATACATGCAGTACATTAAAAATGGCAGTGATATTTATAAACCACAGAAGCCACAGTGTGTAGAATAACAAAGTAAAGAGCAGCTTTACGAAACAAGCATTGCAGAGCCAAAGAGTCTCAATATGTGCATCAAAACCTGCTCTTTGATATTGCTATAAAATCTGCCCAAAGTGCTCATCAAAAATAAACAACTTTTCTCTCTGAGCACAAACAACGTCAGCCATGTTAGCGCCAAAAATAAGACAAGCTTTTCTCAGCCGTTAAATAATCCACAGTCAGTGTTTCCCTTCAGTCTTGGTAAATCAGAGTCGGTGCTTCATTATAATAGCCTCCTCTCAGTATTTTACACTCCGAGAGTGTAAATCCTGTAAGTGGCTGCTGTTGGAACAAAACCTCGCACCTCCAAAAATGGTAACAACAGAAGAAGAAAAAAATATTCTTACTTTTTAGTGCTTAGTTAGATTAGTTAATGGAGAAATAGTTTTTCCAAGTGCTTTTGGACAATTTCTGTTAGTCCGTTCATCTTAAAAACTTAATGCAAGACGAAGGTCAACTGCCTTTTTCAAATTATGTCAAAAAATGAAAAATGGAGATACAAGGTTTTGTCCCGACAGCAACAAAATGCAAATGCAATTAGGCAAAAGTGCATAAGAGCAGATCATTTTTGGTGCTAATTTGCACTGTAGTAATTCGCTTCAGCCACTTTTTAATGCCAAATTGGAGTTTGTGTTGGTGCAAAACTGCCCTCCTATGGGTCGGATGTTGCCTTTGTGGATGTTATACCCCAGGAGCTGCTCAATCCCACTACATTCAATACCCCACCTTCTCACTGTCTAGTACAGAGACTGTGTGTGTTTAAGAGAGAAGAGAGCTGCTCACTTGTGCGCTGGCTGGGTCGTGTGCTGGGTAGTTTGGTAGTCGGCACGCTGGGCAATGTGCTCATTTTCTTCATGCTTTCCTCGAGGTCTTCCTGCTCCAACTCTGCCAGCTCTGCCAACAACTCATCCTAAAAAAGAGAGCAAAAAAGAGAGAGAGATGTGTTACACTTACACTATCTGGACAAAAGTATTGGGACACCTACAGGGGTTTTATGACTCCCATTCTAAATCCATAGGCATTAATATGGAGTTGGTCCCCCTTTGCAGCTCTAACAGCTTCCACTCTTCTGGGAAGCTTCCAAGATGTTGGAGAGAGTCTGTGGGAATTTCTGCCCATTCATCCAGAAGAGCATTTGTGAGGTCAGACACTGATGTTGGATGAGAGGGTCTGGCTCACAGTCTCTGTTCTAGTTCATCCCAAAGGTGTTGGATGGGGTTGAGGTCAGGGTTCTGTGAGGGCCAGTCAAGTTCTTCCACACCAAACTCACCCAGTCAGGCCTTTATGGTGCTGCTTTGTGCACTGGGGCTCAGTCATGCTGGAACAGGAAAGGTTCTTCCCCAAGCTGTTCCACAAAGTTGGAAGTGTACAATTGTCCAAAATGTCTTGGTGCTGAAGCATTAAGATTTCCCTTCACTGGAACTAAGGGTTCTAGACCAACCCCTGAAAAACAGCCCCATATCATCATCCCTCCTCCACCAAACTCTACAGCTGGCACAGTGCAGTCAGGCAGGTAACGTTCTCCTGGCATTCGCCAAACCCAGACTCGTCCATCAGACTGACAGATAGTGAAGCTGATTCGTCACTCCACAGAACACATTTCCACTGCTTTAGAGTCCAGTGGCGGCGCTTCACTCCACTCCATCCGACGCTTGGCATTGTGCCTGGTGATGTAAGGCTTTCATGCAGCTGCTCAGCCATGGAAACCCTGCCATGAAGCTCCTGGTACAGCTTTTGTGCTGATTTTAATGCCAGAAAAGGTTTGAACTCTGCAGTTATTGAGTCATCTGTTGTCTGTACCCACTCTGTAACTTTACGTGGTCTGACACTTCGTGTCTGAGTTGCTGTGGTTCCTAAACGCTTCGACAATATCACTCATAGTTGATCACTGAATATCTAGGAGGGAAGAAATTTCACAAACTGACTTACTCCAACAGTAGCATCCTATTACAGCACCACGCTCGAATTGAACCCATTCTTTCATTAATGTTTGTACAGACAGGCTGCCTGACTAGGTGCTTGATTTTATACACATGCGGTAATGGGACTGAATGAAACAACCTGAATTCAGTGATTACGAGGTGTGTCCCAGTACTTTTACCCATGTAGTGTACAAGAAATTAGTCTTGGTGAGTCACATGTGTGACATGTAGCACACTGAACAGACCAGACAAGCACACAGATTGTTTACAAGCATTTAACTAAGAGAGAAATACAATAAAAAAACAATAAATAGAATAAAGAATAAAGAATAAAGAGCCATGGAGGAGCTAAAGTGTGAATATCTGTACATACGCAGATGAAAATATCTGTGCAAATGCTGGTGTGATGACAACATAATATGAATATTTGTAGAAATTTAACATCTGTACAGTTGTTCAAAGAGCATTATGCTACAGAGGAGTTCCTGTAATACAGTAAGGATGTTTGATGGCTTAGTTTGAGTGTAAAGTGCAAGATATCCACTGTGGTTAATGACCTCTACAGCTATTAGAGGTGGACAGAGAGGGAAAAATACTGTTAAAACTGAGGAAAAAATAGAATTTCTTAGAAGAAACATGACACTGTTAAACAAAAATGTCTGTAAATGTCATATTGTACAGTCAGGCTTTGTTCTCACAGAGTGAGGTTGAGAGAATATCAGCATGACTAGAAGAGTAAATCACTGCAGCACAGAGCTTTAAGGAAACACAGCCCAGCAGTGGCCCATGATGACGTTACCTCGTCAAACTCTTCACCGAAAGGTTGCGAGATAGCATCGGAGATCTCCCGGGCGATTTCCTGCTGCTCTGTAATGTCCGCCATGAGAGAGTCGATGTTGTCCAGATCTCTGAGGGAGACAGAGAGAAACTCAAGGTGACTGAATTCCCTCAAAATAACAAAACACATTTACTCACTTATTCACTGCAGCTTATTAACTGTGAAGTCCATTCATTTGGGCAGTAACTGAGTATAACAACAATTAACTACCTCATAAAGTCGGTGTATTGGACAGCCTCTCTGACCTAATTCTTCAAGGGTTCTTTAGTAAAGAAAATGGTTCTATACAGAACCATGAACACTCAAAGAAGCCTTTGCATGATTAAAGGTTCTTAATGAAGCTGTTTACATGATGTTAAAGCAGATATTATGCATTTAGCCTGTGAATGTGAATGTAATGTGAATGTAAGTCAGGGTTGCTTACATGTTCTGATGGACTCCTTTGATAGCTTTGGCAGCATAGCTCATGTTCTTCAGAACCTCTGTGTTCGTGTTGGCGTTCTCTAGCGCCTCCCTCTGGAACTCAATGGTGGACAGAGTCCCGTCAATCTGAGTCAGCTGCTGCTCGAAGCGCTTCTTCCTCTTCAGGGCCTGAAGTGCAGCTGGGGGAAGATGATGAATCATCATCATCATCATCATGCTGACCAGCAATATCATAATGGGTTACATTAAATTTCAGTTCTGCAGCTTCTGTGGTCAGTCAGGAGGAGGGTGGACGAGAGTCCACTCATTCCATTTATTCCATAACTGAATATGTTCCTTGAGACTTATTTCGACAAGTATAGCGTAACAATCCAGAAAATTCATAGTTCTTGTTGATGCAATGCAGTGGTGTCTTGATTTGATGCATTTTTCACAGCAAAAATGAGTGCCTGAAAATGTGTTAATGTGTTAATGTTTACATTTTCAGTATATTCCAGCATTCAACATTATGAAAGTGTAATATTTGAGACTTTAGAATGAGTTTTGTCTGGTCTCTTAACAACTAACAGCTGACGTGCCAGCCACTACACAGCGATACAATACAAAATGACATGTAATGTTTTGTTGTATTGTTACTCTCCAGCTACAACACGTGGCTCAAGATGGAATATGCTTTGTCATTGTTTGTAAATACAAACCCAATTCCAAAAAGTTGGGACAGTAGATGAAATGCAAATAAAACCAGAAAGCAGTGATTTATAAATCTACTTCTACCTGGTTTTTGAATGAAAACAGTACAAAGACAAATATTTAACGTTTTAGTTGATCAGCTTCATTTTTTGTAAAATTATGTTTATTCTGAAATTGATGCCTGCAACATGTTCTAAAAAAGTTGAGAAGAGGCAATTTAGGACTAGAAACATTGCTAAGTGTTCATAAAACATCTTAAACAGGTGATGTAGTCATGCTTAGGTATAAAAGGAGCATCCAGGAAAGGCTGAGTCTTCTATGAGTATGGATAGGTCAAGATTGCCACTTTGCCAAAAAACAATCTACAGTTCATAATAACAACATCAAATAATTCAGGGAATCCAGAGAAATCTCTGTGCATAAAAGAAAAGGCAAAAAAACACAACCGAATGCCCGTGACCTTCGACCTCTCAGACAGCACTGCAATAAAAACCAGCATGTTTCTATGATGGAGATCAACACATTGGCTCGGGAACACTTTGACAAACTGTTGTCAATAAGCACCGTCAGCTGCTGCATCTACAAATGCAAGTTAAGACCATACTATGCACAGTGGAAGTCATATATTAACAAAATCCAGAAACACCGCCAACTTCTCAGGGCTCAACATCAAATTTGGTTGAGCATCAGTGACCGGTGGTTAAACTCAAACTGATAAACCAATAACAAAGAAGCAGATCTCCAGTAATCCAAAAGCCCAGTGAATGGAGTGAGGTTTATTTCAAATGAATCACAGAAACTCTCAAAACTAGAGACCAAACAGTTACTCTTTTGGAAAAGCCAGGGGAGTAATTTCCGTGAAAATGCGATGGACTGCAGCTCCAAATCACATCTACCTTGTATATTTCTATTCTTCTCTTTCTTTCCCCTTCCCTTTTTTTGACATCACTACAACCATGTGTTTTTTTTTGACGTTTCATGTTTTTTTTCACATACCTACAAATTTTGCAAACCTACTGACAACCAGAATGGCCGATCTGATCTTTTTCAGGCCCTGATTCTCAGGTTTTAAGCATCAGCATTTAAGAAAAGAAAAATAAAGTTGTTTTTTAATAAGTTGATATTAGTTTTCCTGTGGGCCGCTATGCTTTGTAGTTATACACAGGTGGGCCTTGGGGTGGAAAAGGTTGTGAACCCCTGATCTACAGTAACGCTGTAATAAACTCTAAGATTTCTGTAGTGTTCTGTAACAATTCTCTTGTAATATAATGCTTTCAGCTCTGCATAACATTCCTGTAGGACTGTAATATATCTGCAATAAACTATAATAACTGTCTGAAGTTATAATATGACTGTAAAAACTCCTGCAGTTACATTTACATAGATACAGATCATTTCGTACAGCCATAGCACTGAAGGCTGGCCTGCTTGAAAAGTACAGTAAGGCCCATTAGATTCTACTATAAGGATACAGACTTACTCTCCCACATTTCTGAGACTTCGAGGCTTTTAAAGTTTAAGATATTTTCTTGGGTTGAAATCCAAATGTAGAGTCTGAGCGAACACTGTGAGATCTGAGAGGTGTGAGTAAGGCTGGAAAATGAAGGCACTCCAGAAAAGTGAGATGTTTTTAGGTGCAACTCCCTTCAGATACACAAAAGCATCACATGTCAGGTCAGGGTGTAGTGCTCATACAATAGAGCTCTCTAAACAAAGATTAGACTTCAGATATATAGCACTGCAGGCTGGAACTGAGCAGGATCTACAACATTACAAAGCAAGATGATTGAAGGATATAGATAGGAGATAGATCTATAGTCCATATTATATACAGTACTACAGGAATTTCTTTATTATTTCTATAAGAATGTTACAGTAAACTGGGTTAATGGGTTAATATAGTACACTACACAAGCATTATGTAGGACTGCACAAAACTTTTTATTTTATTATTATTGTAGGAGGCAAAAAAATAGATATATATTAGATCATTATTGAAGTACACAGTACTAAATAAACCATATAGTTTCTTATAGTAGTGTATGTCTTTTCTGTAGGAAAGAAAGTCAGCCAGAAAGACAGAAAAATGAAAGAAAATAAATGTTTGGCTTTTACGTCATGTACAAATCACTAAATTAAAGGGGAATTCCACCATTTTTTTCACAATTTCTGAATAATGCATTGTTTGGGATGTAAACAGAGTGATTCAGAGAGGTTTGGTGTGAAATGGTTCAGATGTCTTTACAGTGGTGGTGATAGGAACCAGGGGTCGCCATGACTACAACACAAATATAGACATTTTATTTGCTATCCAAAACCACCAGTGAACCAACACGAGTCTTCTGAGTTTATATGCAGTGTTGATGATGGAAAATAGTGGAAAATCTGAAATAAAACATTTTCTTTGGAGACTTTTTTTGCATGTGTCCCTCCACCGTGAATGGATTAAAATTAGGATTAAAATACATTTTAAGCCAAAACATTATCACAAAACTATCATAAAACAGTGTCTCAGTCATCAGGCTGTGAATTCATAGCCACTTCATGTAGTAACTTTCTGTGAGGGAGCTTTTACAGGTGCACGTCTGGTTCCTATCACCACCACTGTGAACAATTCTGACTTGGTAAGTTTATCTAGAACGGAACGTTTCACACCAAACCACTCCAAATGACTCTGTTTACATCTTAACTGTTTACTTATGTAGAAATTTTGAAAAGACTGGTGGAGTTCCCCCTCAAAGGTGCAGTAACAAAAACAGCCTGTATAATTCTAAGGGATAAAAACCATTTCATTATGCAGAAAACTTTGAATAATCGGTGGAGTTTCCCTTTAAACTGCTATCAACTGCATATTTGGGCAGTGTTAGTCAGTGAAGTGACTAATTCTGCTTTTTCCAGCATTTTCAAATGAAGATTTTTATAATGGACTTTTTATAATGGACTCCTGGCTGGTATCAGAAAGGCCAAGGTAAACATGGCGTGATGTGATACTTCGCCCTGTGGCTCGAAACTCAACTTTGACGCACGGACACACAGATAGGAAGTTGCATTTTCATGACTGTGAATGAGTTAAATATTAATCTAAAGCTCTACTAAAACACCAGGTTACCTCTTTTGTTCTTAGTCCCGTTCTTCTTAGCGATCATAATTTCCTGCTCGATTTTCTTCTCCAGATATTCCTGTTTTTTGGTGAGCATGGCCTCGGTCTCCCGCAGCCTGTGGATGGCCTCCTGCGGGGACGGACCTGCTCCTGACCGGGAACGGTGCTTTGATTTGGACCCGGAGCTGGAGCTGGATTTGGAGCCGGAGGACCCTGACGTCCCTTTAAATAACTTAGAAACTTTACTCATAGCGGCTCTTAGAAATCTGCTGTATATCAGCCTCAAATTCTCCTATAGCCAGTTCAGTCCAGGAGGGAGTGAAAGCAGCCTAACTGTGGCTCAGAGTGGAAAAGCCTGACTGTCCGCTTCCAGATTCAATTCAAAACAGTGACCCACACCTACACCTGTGTGACGAGCACACCTGAGAAGGGGGCGGAGCTCAGTGACAGAGAACTGTTTTGTTTAGGGCAGCGTCCATTCTATTACACTGCACTCTCTAAAAAGTTCTAAAAAGAGGGTTCTTTAGCACAGAAATGGTTCTATATGGAAACATTTGCATGATTAAATGGATCTTCAGATTGATTGAGAATGTGCTGTAGATGGTTCTATATAGAACATTTTTGAAAAGGGTTTAGGGAGCACAAATGACAAGCCCCCTTCTTTGGTGCTAAATATAACCCTTTTCAAAAAGGTTCTATATAGAACCATATAAACACATTCTTTATCAGTCTGAAGAACGCTTTCACAATGCAAAGAAAACTTTAATCATGTAAAGGGTTCTTTGAGGCTTCATGGTTCTATATAGAACCATTTTCTTTAGTTATTTAAGTATGTACCCTGCACTCTTAAAAAAAGGTTCTTCAAGGGTTCTTTAGTAAGTTCAATGGTCCTATTTAGAACCATGAGTCCTGTATAGAACCATCTTGAGAAAAATTGGTTCTTTGCATGGTAAAGTGGTTCTTTAAATTGATGGGGAATGTGTTATATATGGTTCTATGTAGAACTAAAAAGGCTTCTGTTATTCTTATGATGTCAAGCTTCTTATAATATTCCTTTCATGGGGCACGCAGAACCATTTTCAATATTTTGCTATCTAGAACCATATACAACATGTGTTGCAGGCTCCAGTTTCAGAATGAGTGTATATGTGCAAAAATCAATGAAGTTGATATGACAAAACGTGAAATATCTGTTTTTCTAAGACTTTTGTTTAAATACAGGTCAAAATAGATTTATAAATGGCTGCTTTCTGTTTTTATTTGCATTTCACATACAACAAGTACACTTAAAGACCCATATAAAACAGAAAAAACAGAATTTAGTATGCATGTATGTAGTATGTAAACACAAAACATACTCAGCTCATACAGTTCATGTGACGTCACAAAATACAATGATAAAAATACAAGCTGATTGGTTGAGAAGCGTTCTAACCATGTTGTAATTTTGCCATAACATCACCGGTTTTGCACAAACACTGTATCACTCCGCTGAGACGCCGTTGCTAAGCAATGACTTTGACAGCTGTAGGAGACGCTCAAGCCATTTGAACGTTTTTACTTATTACTTTACCACAAACAGAAAATGGACACTTTTAAGATCACATTTGACCGACAGCCGATTTGGTCAGACTCTGAAGATGAGATGACACTAAATTCCCAAACTGTCATCACCACTGAGCAGCTTTTCAGTCGGCAGCTGTGACAGAAGAACAGCTAAACAACCTGGAATCAGCCAGAAATTAACCCAATATCATTCGCCAAACAAAATGGACTGTAAGATGCTTTACAGACTGGCTGGAACAAAACAACATTAATACTGATCTGGCGAAAACTGACAAAACTGAGCTGAACTTGATATTGCAGCAGTTTTATGGCTCAGTCTGATTTGGTCAGACTCTGAAGATGAGACTACACTAAATTCCCAAACTGACAGTTGGTCTGTGTGGAGCTGAAAAACGAACTGCCGGCTGCGCAGCGAGTGGGCGGAGCTCGTTACCCTGATGTAGCAACAAGCTGCTTGTTAAGGAACTATAATTTGGTGAAGGAACTGCGAACATTAAAACATATTAAACGCCGCGTTCACGGCCCAGTTTATTAATTTATTACTTTATTTATTTAACTGTTGTATAAAAGCAGTAGAACACTCGAGGAGTGTGTTATCGCCAATAACATCACAGCTGTGATGATCTACGGCGACCAAATCACAGCCGTGATGTTATTTCGTGATAAAACACTCCCTCTCGTGTTCTATTGCTCAACTATATCCGTCTATACAGCCTATAGCAGTTAAACTCCACTCATTCATGTTAAAGTTATAAATAGTGTTTTTGATTTAGGCGCAAAACCAGACAAGCCAGTCAGAACAGAGGTCATTTCCATTCGTCAGTCACAGCACCAGAACAGCCTGTTAAATTTTCAGAGAGGACAGAATATTGTCATTTAAAAATAATTATGACCGCTTTTGGTAAATAAAACCACACATGTCATTAGTGAACATGAGAAAAAAATAAAAATACATCGGATAGGAGCCCCTTAAATGAGCTTTATTTTGCTTCGCTGCATGACTTTTATTTTGAAAGCGTCTTCTTGTGGCGAGTTGAAAATGGCGGAGTTGGACATTGGGAAACATTGCGAGATTGAGTCTTGCAAGCAAAAAGGTCGGGATTGCTGCAAATTATTAGTTATATTTTGAATATGACTTAAAATACTATTAAACAATTAAAATACTGATTTAGCCACGTTTATATTATGCTAATGTCGTATTCAGAGTCTAGTGTAGCAGCCTCAGCAAGGCTGAAGTCAGTCTACTACTCACCAGCCTCTCGTTGGAATTTTCCCGGTCCACCTTAAATGGTGCCGTGGTTAATATTATAACGCCAGGCGCCAGAATGTAACTGCGGCACCATTTAAGGTGGAACGGGAAAATTCCAACGAGAAGCTGGCGAATAGGAAGCTGACTTCAGCTTCGTCTGTGAGTCAGCATCAGTAGCTTTTGTGCTAGTAAAGCTAATAAAAGACGCTTCTCTTCTTAAAATGAATAAGACCTGTCTCATTAAAGGGGAATTCCACGGATATTTCAAAATTTCTGTATAATTCGGTGTTTGAGATGTAAACAAAGTCATTCAGAGTGGTTTGGTGTGAAATGGTTCAGATGTCTTTACAGTGGTGGTGATAGGAACCAGGGGTCGCCATGACTACAACACAAATATAGCCATTTTATTTACTATCCAGAACCACCAGTGAACCTACATGAGTCTTCTGAGTCTATATGGAATGTTGATGATGGAAAATAGTGGAAATCTGAAAATAAGTTTTCAGATTTCCACTAATTTCCATCTGAAAACTTATTTTCAGATTTCCACTATTTTCCATCATCTGAAAATAAGTTTTGTTTGGGGACCTTTTTGGCTTACAACAACCTTCTTGTGTATTTCCACTTAGAACTGATTAGAATAGAGTGATTAAAATATGTTTTAGATAACTATCACAGAACTATCATAAAACAGTGTCTCAGTCATCAGGCAGTGAATTCATAACCATTTCATGTAGGAACTTTCTGTGAGGAGCTTTTAGAGGTGGACGTCTGGTTCCTATCACCACCACTGTGAACAGTTCTGACTTGGTAAGCTTCTCTGGAATGAAGCATTTTACGCCAAACCACTCAAAGATTTTATTGACAGATAAACCATATAATTATAAATTATAATTTTAATATGCTGATAGACTTACTAAGTCTGATAAACCTGACGAACTCTTGTTTCAATGCAGACTTTCTGCCATTTGTGTGTGACAGCTGCTCTGGAGTGTTTTGGTGAGACTTTTATTTAGTTTTCTTTACAATCTGCAGTACGAAGTTATTTATAGGAAGTCAAAGTCAATACATTTCTTACAGTTTATAAGCATTCATATTGTTTAACCTCTTTGTGTTTTTCTGTTATCAGCCTCGAACACAGAAGCAGAGACTCACATTCTTGTCCAGAGGTGAGTTTATATTAAAGAGCCCATATATGGAACATTATATATAATTGTTTATATTTATAGATAAGAATTTACTGTCGTGTTATTCAACATGTTCAGTTCACTCCACACTCCACTCTATATGGAAAAATAATTGACAAAAACAGCCCATTTTGAATCCACTGTTTTTATGATGTCATGGCAAACAGCCTACTTAATAATATAATGTCAGTATACCTTTATTCGTAGAGCACTTTTCAGTCTACCGAGACGTAGACTTTTAATTAAACTCTAAGTTAGAAAGATGCGTTTTCAGATGTTTATTAAAAGTGTGCACTGAGCTTGACCGTCTAAGAAAACATTATTATTATTATCATTTAAAGATGTATTAACTAAAACACATTACTTGGACTTTCTGACTGCTGTCTTGTCTCGCAGAAAACAAAGAAAAAAAATGTGACATTATATCACAGCTGTTCGAGGGGCTTCCGAGTGGCACAACCATCTAAGCATTGGCCCTCATCAGGAGATCGCGAGTTCGATCCCTGGTGATGCTACAGCCGTTCGTAGCCGGGAGTCCAAGAGAGCACAATTGGCCTCCCCCCATCACTCAGCGCGATTCCAGTCAGCGCAGGTGTCTGCTAGCTGACGTAACAGATCTGGCGGTTGGCGCTTTCCTCCGAGCGCATTCGGCTGTCCAGTGACGTTGCGTTTGAAAAGAAGAGGTGGCTGGTTTCACAGGTCTTGGAGGAAGCCTGTGTTAGCCTTCGCCCTCCTAGCGTTGATAGTATCGTGTGACTGGGGGAGTCCTAACTAGCGGTTGGAATTGGCGATGACTAAATTGGGGAGATAATTGGGTAAAACCCAAAACAAACTATATATATATATATATATTTCTGTGCATTTTTGTTTATATTTAGTCCCCACTTTGTTGCTAGCATACTACAAAAATACAAAAATTTTGAGTTCCAGTTTCCCATCTTTGACATAAGTCATACGCAGCGATCTGCCTACAGCAAATTAGTCCTCTCCATTTAAGACGAAGGAGAGTTCTGGCCTGGACTGCTTTTTGAACGGGGCACAATACAAGACAGCCAATCAGAGTGAAGGACATTTACATATATCAGTCTTAACGTCACATGAACAGTAACAGAAACCTTGTGTATGATCATAAGGGATAAAGAAAGCTTGTATAAAGATGTGAAAGTAAATTATGACTTTTTTTAGGTACATAAAGCAAATATTATAAACGCAAGAAACACACAAATGTTATAAATTTACCTCAAGGAAAATAAAATACAGTACAAATGTACACACTTAAAAAAGATGGTTCTTCAAGGGTTCTTTAGTAAAGACAATGGTTCTATATAGAACCATGAGCACTCAAAGAACCCTTTGCATGATTAAGTGGTTCTTTGCATCATTGCACCCCCTTTGTTAAGGGCAGCG